CCCCAAAACCCCAAAACCCCAAAACCCCAAAAAACTTGATTTTAAGAGAATTCAATTGAGAATAAATTTAGAAATTATTTTATAAATGAGCGACTCAAATCCTTATTTGCAGCATGGTGTTAAAAGTGGTTTATTAAATCCAGACCCCTAGAAATCTTGCCATTAATAAAATCATGCATAAGATGAGACTAGCTCTACTATATAGAATGATTGGCAATAAACAAATTTGATCAATCAAGATGCCAACTAACACTAAAACAATAGCAAAAAGCTAGCAAAATAATATAAGGTTACACTAACTAAATCATCTAAAGTCTAGAATGAGGCAAAGATAAATGAAATAATACAACCACCTAGTTTGGAGTTTGCAAATTAAAGAATTAAAAGATTAGTTACTTGTCATAATGTGATTTCTTATATCCTGGTATCATTAAATGGAATCGCATCTCTTCATTCACTTTACTTCTTGTTTGCTAGAGATGCTTTCCATCATTTCAAAATTGAGGACAGAGCTGGGAACATTCTTAAAGCTAACTTCGAAGATTCTTTACTACTCTACTTAGGTCTATTCAAATTACTACTACATTTGATTCTTTTAAAGTGGAGTGTCCTTGGCTTTAAATTTTTTAATCCCTTAACCAAAGATGTTGAGGATCAAGAATTATCAGCAATCAATCCGATCTAATCTAATGATTAAGGAAAAAAGAAGAAAAAGCAAAAACTTTCTAGCTCACTCAAGTACTATAGGAAGAGAACTATGAAAACAATGTTCTTCGCTGTATTCGTGCTCTTTGTTCTAGTCGTAGTTGCTAGATAGCATATTTTAGATACAGCTTATTAAGCTATTCAAAACTATTACATGAACTAGACTTCATCAACAACTAGTTCAACTTCAAAATTAGTGAAAGCTAGTCATTAAGAGTTCTTTGACCAAGGGGAATATCATCCTTATCATAATGATGAAAATGAGGACTTTATTGAAAATAACAATCAATTCTTAAACCATCAAGATGATAAGTTTAATGATGTAGAAAGGGTCAATGAAGTAACCAAATAGTTAATACAATAGTACTCAGATTATATACAGAAAGGGTAAAGTCTAGCTGACCTTCCGTTCTAGAATCAATTAACTAACGCAAGCTAACCACTAGATTAATACCAGTAAATGATAGTGGACTCCTGTATGAAGATTATGCCTGATTTTTCAGTAGTTATTTGTGATTAAATTTCAAGAAGATTCTATGATCAATATAATACAACTCATACTTAAATTAGGATTTCAGAGTCTCGCAGACTAGCAATAGCTTAAAATGATGACAGCGAAAATCCAAATGACTGGCATCACAGGGGAGGACATCCACATAAGTTTATATTACCCTTCAATTTGAATGAAATTGCTTAAGACGAGGTAAAAGATCGTGCAAATAAGAAAATATCAAGAATGGGAATGAAGTTCTTGTTGATTTCCACTTCAGTAATTGCTGTTGTAGCAGGCATTATCTTGTTGATTACAAACAAAGCGATGAAGTACTAGAAGATAAGAGAAAGATATTAACAGGTTAAGGGTAGAAACCCACATTAATAACTGGTTATTAGTCACTAGGAATTCTGAATCTTAGAGATTAAAAATTTATAACGCATAAGATAAAGATGAGCAAATATCTTAAAGGAGATGCGAAGCATTCTTTATCCATTTGATTAAATAATAATTCATTATAGAATTTTGAATTTCTGCACTAGTGGGGTTTTGGGGTTTTGGGGTTTTGGGGGTTTTGGGG